CTCACATGGAAAAGTCTGCCAATCTCCTCAAGTGACTTGGGGTCGTAGTTGTTTAGCCCGTATCGCAGTACCAACACTTGCCTCTCTCTCAAATTCAACCCTTTCAGCAGATCGTGAATGTCCTTTTTCATGTGTTGCCTCATGACAGTTTCTTCAGGGCTCTTTAGTGATGTGTCTGGTGTAAATTCCTGGATCATGAACACAAAACAGGTTTTCTAGTTAACAAAATAATCTCACCACTACTTTCAACATGATTAAGGACCGCGATATCCCAAATTTCCAATTTGTTGCAGGCCTGCAGGATTTTGTGTGTTCTATCCTTAGCTTCCTAAACTATAAGAGCTTTGACCACAAAATGATACTAACTACATTGATCTCCACTTTTTCTCGGCAAATTCCCATTCCCATAACTAAGTCCTAGCAAAGGAAAAATATGTATAAAATTTACATGCAAGAGAGACAGAGAAAGATTAGCTAGATCAATACCATATATGTCCCATCAGAGCTTTCCCACATTTTATGATCTACCGAACCCACAACTCTCAGACATGTACTAGCTGATCTGATTCTCGCCAAAGAAAGACCTGTAATCTTTGCAATTTCCTCATCATCTGGGTATTTCATGTGGCTGTTGTAATTGGCTTTTCGAGCTTTCTGTATCTGATTTATTGCCTTGCTTAGTGTGAACTACAATAAAACAACTCAATGATCAACCACCAGCACTCATCAACACAATATTGTATGGTCTTTCAAAGAAGAGCGGAACAACATACCGGAATTTGGACCCCCCTAGCATGCCGTGCCACCAATCTTGACATTGATTTCCTTATCCAGTATTGAACATAGGTTGAGAATCTATAACCCCTTGAGTGATCAAACCTTTCTGCACCTTGCAGGAGACCCAGGTTTCCAGCCTGTGAAATAGAGGGGGAGATAGACGAATAAATTGAGAGTAAATATCATATAAATACATGGAGTAAGAGTAAGTTTTGACATCTGATCAAAGTTGTTGTTTCAGTGATCAACAACGAACTGCATCGAATATAATCACTGTTGAATTATTTCATGGAAAAAATTACTAAGAAACATCGTTTACAAACTAGAAAATAAAATAAAAATTAATGTGTGTAATAAGCACTGTGAACAACCACAAAATGAATATAGGTTTCACAAACCTGCATTAAATCATCCAAGGCTACCCCTAGCCCTCTATAGTTTCTAGCAAGGTATAGAACTAAGGAACGAGTGCTCCTTATAAGCTCATCCTGGCAATACCAACCAAAACGCAAATGCTGTAGCAGCACCTTTTCATGAACTCCAGCTGCTTCTGCCCAGCACCTTAAGGTCACTACTTTACCAGTTTCCTTTTCCAAAGTTTCTTTAATTCTCTCCAAGTCGGCGATCACCTGTAATGATACAAAAGCATAGCTGGTAAAAACATCCTTGAAGCAAGCAAAATTTTATTTTAATCTGTACCGTTGAAGATAAGCACAACCTTAACCCCGATTGACATTTCTGCCTCATTTTTAGAAATGGTCAGTCTTCTACTTCTATATTTTGATGCTCTTTTTCCTGACGAAGGAGTAGGCTTTTTAAGACCTTTCCAAACTGTTTTTGGAGGCAATGAATTAGAAGACACTACGGCATTATCTGATGTTCTTTTTCTTGATCTTCTTTCTTCCTTTTTCCCAGAACGAACAATAATCTCACCTACGTTGTTATCTTCTTTTCTCTCCATCTTACCCTCTTCAATCGGTACTGTGGGTATGTCAGGAAAATCCAAAAGGCTCGAGGTTTTAAGAGTTCTCGATAGACAGATATCGAATAACTTCAGAGCTCCAAGCCTTCCTAGTTGCAAAAGAATCTCTTTCTCCAACTTTAACACATCTGAAGTAGCAAAAGTCTCCTCCAAAACATTAAGATTTTGCAGTAACAAACTAAAATGAGATGCCGTGCATGCTTCTAAGCCTTTACTGGACATAAACTTGCCTTCTGCAACAGGCATCTGGTTGTCACTAATGCTCTTTGGCACCCTCCTAAAGGCTGTCTGAAAGGCAAAAGTCATGGTAAGATTTTCATCTACTAAAAATAAGGAAAATTCAGTGTGATTGAGATTGTGCAAATTTCAAGCAACAATTCAATTAAAGGGCAAACCTTCACCTCTTCCATTTCTGAGACACCATCCTCTAAGATTTGCGGGGAAGCAGATGGACAAGTGTACACTTTCAGAGGATCTTTACTAGAAGCCTCACCTTCCTCAGAAATAACAGACAGAAAGGACAACCTTGCTGAGTTGAAAGAGCCCTCCCTGCCTCTAACTGTATCAATTTACATAGAAAATTATAAGTATAATACAAGTTGAGAGCCAAGTTCAAGCCAATACCAATGTGCATCACTTATGGTAGATGGGAGCTTAGATAATAGCCAAATTTCCAAATTTTCCAATGTCAGTTTCAATAGCCCATTGAAAACTTCAAGACCCAATTCTTAAAAATGCCTTTTGATCATCTTGGAAATTCACTTTCTCTACTATGAACTAAGAAGTAACACAGTATGACGCTGGTTTACTTAAAAAGATACAATGAGGTGTTTCAGATTGCCAAAAACAGATGCAATGCTGGGAAATTCAAGAAAATCTCAAAACAAAGATGAAAGTTGCAAAAGCAGAGAAACAAACAGTCTCTCTGGTGGAGCAGGCATATGAAATCAGCTGCAGAGAAAGCCAATGAAACTCACCAGAAGTTGAAGAAAGCTTGGAAGGGGAAGTGGTTTGCCAGTGAGAAGAATGAACAGGAAAGCCACACTTGAGGTTCAGCCTAAAACCCAAACCCATTGTCTGTCTTTGACTCTGTCTTCTCTTGGCACCAAAGATGTAGAGCAACAGAGTCCATTAAATCCTCATGGGGTTGTTTTCTAGCCAAAAAAATCTTCATGGGGTTTTGAGAACTATATACAATATTTGACTGCAACAACGTATACAAGTGTCGCTCTGCTCTCCACCACCGATTCTTCATCTCTTTAAACATGGGTCAATTAGTTTTTCACCTGTCTTAGGAGTATAGCCGTGCGGCTGTACTATTTTAAAAAAAGACGCCCCCCCGAGCGATTTCGGCTATGCCGCACGCTATACTATTTACTTAAAAAAACCAGAGCAGCCGCAAAGCGCCTCCTGTAAAATAGTATAGCCGTGCAGCTAAATGTTTTTGAAAAAACATTAAAAAACTAAGTATAGCCGACACCCCAGCGATTTGCCGCCATGTGTCAAAACAAAAAATTAAAAACACGGAGTATGGCCGGGCGGCTGTACTATTTTTAAAAAAAAGAGAACCCTCTAGCAGTTTAGGGGCCACGTGTCAAAAATAGGTATAGCCATACGGCTATACGTTTTTTTATTTTTTATTTTAAATCGTAGTTGCATTAGTTTCTACTTTATAGTTATTAATTTGCTAGTTTCTCGACGTATCCAAAGTAGATATTAATCGGCCACTATATAATATTTTAATATAATATTTATAACATATATTATTTTTATTCAATAATATGTGAGAATTATTTGTATAATATGTGATTTTTGGGGGTCTTACTAAAACTTTTGTAAAAAATACGTGTATAAAACATTAGAAATATGTACATACATGTACAATATGACTATTATATGTTTGCTTTTTAAAAAACATGAGACGTGCATATAACACGAATATATTATTGATATATATATATATATATATATATATATAAAAGACTACAGCCGCTCATCTATAACCGTCTCACTTTCTTTCATGAGATCAAGGAGAGCGTAAGAAAGCCCGGGAACCTATGACTGTAAAATATGAAAGCCCGAAAACCTGTGGGATTAGTGGCCCTAAGACATGAGGGCTGGAATTGTTTTGTGGGATTTATTTATTTATTTATTTTGTGCTTTACCTAAATGTTTAATATGCAATTTACACCTTCAATAAATATGGTTTAAACTTTAGAGTACACAAAAGCTCAAATGGCTTGAGATGTGAAATGAGATTAACTAATATGATATGTGACACTCTAGTTTGTGAGAGGATTATGCGAGTATGTGAATTTATGTCGGTTGATCAACAAAATCTTTTACTACGCTACAATTACTCTCGTTCTGATTATACTTTTCACTGTTCTTTCTTATGACTATTGCCCAATTCCATTTAATGATCAAAACTACATTTTAGGTCCTGCTTCAAGAGTCATACATGCAAACAAATCATATAGATTGGAAATTATTTGGTCATCTAAAAGGTGCAACGAAAAACAATTTGTTACATAAAGAAAACGAAAAATGCGAATAATCAAATAGGTAAACAGTTTTTAGTTTAGTTGATTTTTGATATGAATGATCATTGAAAAAGAACCCACTGATTGAATGAGTTACTACCTATAAATAAAATATATATTTTTAAAAAGAATCCTTAATAACGTTAACTAGCATATAAATATAAGGGAATGGAACTTTTAACCTAACTTAATTCTACCTCACCCCTTCGGTTGACAAAAACCATTTTTCTCTGTTTGCCAAAAAGAAAAGAAAAAACTAAATCAAGAGATTGTGTAAACTAAACCATGAGGTATTCCAAAACATAGTAGATATGACGACACGATGTAAACACACAAATTGAATGATTCATGTCCAATGGCAACCCAGATTCCCAGATTTTGAAAAACATAGAAACTTAACAAAATATCTTATGTTGTATTTATTGCGTAATTAAACCAAAAGCTGCCTAACGAATCTCACAATAATAACATGGACTTTTTGGGAAAAAAACAAATAATAAAAAATCATACAGCATGCAGGAGAATTCCGTGTCAAGCGGTCAAAGTCGTTTGCTTCCCAAACGGAGGTAGCGAACGTTCCAAATATACCCCCTCGCTTTCCATAACTTAACCAACAGAAACCAGTGTAAAATTCTCGTAATTAAGTGGAAATAACAGGGGCAATTATATCAAACCAGTCAGAGATGGCAAGCTCTAGTCGAGGTGCGGGCCAAACCAAACCTGGAACTGTGATTTGTGGAGAGACTGTATATGTAACTGCTAAAGGTCCAAAACCGCTACCAACAAGCAAAACCTCTCCATTTGACCAAGACTTGCAGAGCATATGGCTTCCATGGAGATGGAGATCGACGGTTCTGGAATTGTATCTTCCAATGAGATCAAGCAGAGAGGCAAGAAAAACATGGTGAGGAAGAAAAAGAACAGGAGCAAGGGGACGAGCACAAAAGAAACGTTTCATTACCTGCCAAAGTTTCGGTGTTTCAGCTTGAAATCTGAAACGGACGGGAAGGGGAATTTTGATATGGAGGTTGAGGATGAAGGGCGTGGGAAAATGACGCCTACCCATCTTATTATAATGGTGAATGGTCTTATAGGCAGGTTGATATTCTCTGTTTGCTTAAATTGAATGTGGGTTGAAGCTCAAGCTTCCGTCTTTTTCATTTATTTATTCATTTATTTGTGTTACATTTGGTGCAGTGCTCAGAATTGGAAATATGCAGCAAAACAGTTTCTCAAGAGATACCCAGAAGATGTTATTGTTCACTGTGAGTCCTTTTCTCCATGACTTGCTTGCTTAGACAAAGTTTTTGCTTTTTTTGTTTTGTTTTGTTTTTTTGAATTACCAATTGCATTTCCCTATAATGAAATGAGTTTGCATGCAATCAATTTGCATTGCAGGCAGTGAATGCAATTACTCAATGCTGACATTTGATGGGGTTGATGTAATGGGGGAGAGATTAGCAGAAGAGGTGCGTTATCTTTTGGACTAAATTCATTCATCAACCAACCAACTTGTTTGTCAATGTCATCTTCCTTTGAATTGGAATTCATGGGTTTATGATTTTCTGTTTGTTGGATTGGTTCAGTTTCATTGCTATAATTTTTTTTTGAAGGTTATTTCCGTCATAAAACGCCACCCAAGTGTTCAAAAGATCTCGTTTGTTGGTCATTCATTAGGCGGCCTTATAGCAAGGTACGCCATTGGCAGGCTCTACGAAAGAGACCTCACGAGGGAACAATCTCAGGAAAATGGAGAATGTAGGAGTGACGGAGTTGAGGATCCACTGCTGGAGCACAAAGTCAAAGGCAAAATTGCTGGACTGGAGCCTGTGAATTTTATAACCTCTGCAACTCCACACCTCGGTACCAGGGGGCATAAACAGGTGACTTGAGTTGTTATGAACTTACCATTGCAGTACTTATTCTCTGTTGTAATTTATCAATTCTTTCGTTTGCACATCAGTTTTTTACTCTTTGGTGCCGTTTGATAGTGAAAGCATGAGAATTTGTTTTAGTTGAATGAAGAATTAGGTAATTTGCTCACATAGCTGCCAAGTTTTTGTAAGGGGAAGAACTGCAATTGGGTTTTCTTCCCCAATTGGTGACGGTTTCTGCATTTCCAAGGCTGTCCTGATGGAAGAATTAATTGAGTTGCCTTAATTTAAACAGCACATGTAGTTTTGAAGCTTTCAAGATTTCTTTTATGAGGAGAGACTCTTGGAACCTTATCATTGTTGGTTATGGGTGTCTACAAAAGTTGCAAGTCATAATTTGGAAAATTAGTGACAAGTGAATGTCTTCCTGCTCTGCCTACAAATGAGGTTTCATATTCTTCTGAGTTCTTGATTATCTGCTGGTTTTCATTTTTCAGGTTCCAGTGTTTTGTGGCTTTCAACCCCTGGAAAAAGTAGCAGCTCGTACCTCATGGTGTCTAGGTAGAAGTGGAAGACATCTGTTTTTAACTGATAGGGATAAAGGAAAACCTCCCCTTCTTATTCAGATGGTCAATGATACTGAAGATCTTAATTTCTTGTAAGTCCTAGTTGTTAGTTACATTTGTTTTTGTAACATATTATCAGCTACTGTAGGTGATGATTCAAGGATTTGCCATCATATCTCTTGTCTCTGCAGATCTGCATTGCAGTCCTTCAGGCGTCGTGTTGCCTATGCAAATGTTCTCTATGACCGTATCCTTTAAATTTATGTGTATGTATTTTTTATTATTTAAATATTATCCTCATTGTTCAAGCAAACATGTTGGGATTAATTAATTTGGCGTTCACATCTGGTCTTCAAAGTAGATTAAAGTTTGAGTGAGTCAATCTTTCAATTTGACACTGTCACAAACTTCTTTTATTACTATTTCCATAATTTATGTGCAGCACTTGACAACTCTTATAGACCTTGTCGGATGGAGTACATCATCTCTACGGCGTAGGAAGGAGCTGCCAAAGGTAATTCTGTAGCTACTCATGGATGTTTTAATTGTCTGGAATTAATCTTACCGTGAACTTTTCTATCAGCTTAAACATTTATCCAAAGATGACAAATATCCACATATTGTGAATGTGGAGACAATAAAAACTGCCAGTACTCAAGAAGAAGTATCTTTCGAAGCGAAAGCCAGTGGATGCAAGCATATTGACTTGGAAGGTTTGCTAGTTGTTTATCTTGTTTTACTAATGACTTATTATCAGTGCCTCATTGCTCTCTGAAGCTTATTGCAGCTTTAGCATGGAGACATTTTATTGATAAGGCTCCATGTTCCCATGATGGGATATATGGGTAGATTGGAAGAAAACCGTTGCGAATTCTGCTTTCATTCACATATTATTCCCTTTAAATCATAAGGGTTATGCAACTAGGCTGCAGGACATTTTTAGGAATTCATTACTCCAGAATGTATGGTTACAGAACTGGAGGTGCATAGATTACAGGAGGGGAGGCTTTCTGGGTATGAAATGTGTTCAACAGAATAACTTAATGGAGTGCATCAGCTGTTCCTAAATCATAGAGCCAATCTTAGAACATAAGTCCTTTTAGTTGAACGAGACTGCCAATGCCTTTTAGACAGGCACCGAAAATGAAATTTAATATGAAGTTTCTTCTTTATCAGGGGGACACTAAGTCTATAAGATGGTAGCTGCAGGAATTCTCTGATGGCCTTTAGCTGTTATCTTATTTCTAAGATTTGCGTAGTACTATGAAAACTAAAGTTCTATAAATGATGCAACTAAAATCTGAGAAAAATTTGTGTGAATAAAAAACTAGCTCATTAGTAGTTATAGGGTGAATATGATGACAATGTAGTAATTAGAGTTAGAGGGAGACTAAGTTCTGTAGTGCGATACATCCGATATGGATAGTTTTGCTTTCATCTGATACTCAGTTTTATGATGTCAACCCCATGATTGCCGTAGTCTGAGCTCGTCTCAATGTAGTAATTCTTAGCGTATTGGCATTTTATTCACTTATTTCTCAACACGATTGTAGAGGAAATGATCAGAAGCTTGACCAAAATGAGCTGGGAACGGGTTGATGTGAGCTTCAAAGGAAGTAAGCAAAGATACCTTGCGCACAGTACCATTCAGGCAAGCCCCCTGCTTTTCCTTGAAACTCATCATGTTTAACTGTTTAACACATTTCTTTTAATGTCATTGCAAAACGTTTCTTTTTCTTATCGGTTTCACAATGCATGCTGGTCCATCTGCAAGCTAGATTAAGAAGCAGCCGTGTGACATAGTTAAATGGTTTTTTTTGGTGGGTCAGGTGAAAACCTATTATCTGCATTCTGATGGGGCTGATGTGATCCAACACATGGTTGACAACTTTGTTGTGTGACGTGCCAATTTTGTTATTACCTCAAAGCCAGTGACATTGCATTCCCTGCATTAGTTTTCGCTCGGGAAAGAGAAGCGATTGAGGTTCAGGGCCGAGCTTTGAGGGAGTGTTATGAACATTTCAGCCTCATATGACCTCACAAACTGAGAAATTTAATCCTTCAGATATGAAAGGACACTGACGGAGAGCATAGCATTAGCATACATAAAATCCCGGTTCAACATGCATTTTTCTGGAAGAGATAGAGAGGGAGAGAGATAATGCGGCCTTCCTAAGGCAGGTAGTGAGATTACAAGCAATTTTATTCTGTTAATGTCGGTCATGTATTAAAACGCAAAGAGTTTTATTTATTTTATTTTATTTATTAATTATTTTTATTTTTATTCACAAATAGTCCCGAGGTTGGTGAAATTATCACTTTTGGTTCTTTATGTTTTTTTTTTCTGACCTTACCTCACACATCAATTTGGTCTTGCCATTAGGTTTCGTCAAAATTTCTGTTAAATTGCTAACGTGGAATGTATATGGTGCCCACATATCCAATGAGAAAATGCTATGTGGCTTTAAATAAAATAATGATATATTTTAAAACTTAAAATCCTTTTTAAAAAGAAAATGAAGTTTTTTTTATAAATAAAAAAGATTAAAACTAAAAGAAAAAGAAAAATACCTGCAACCATCCCCCCCTCTGCCAATGCCCTGCCCTTGTGGCAACCCACTCTTTGCCTATCTCCTCTCTCTCATTTTGGTTAATTTCATCCCTTCTCGGGTGGTGCTGGGACTTGGGCAGCGGCTGGTGCGGATCTCGGGTAGGGATGAGGGTGGTTGTATGGTGGCACTGGGCTTGGGGTTGGTCTCGGTAGTGGGGTGGTGGCTTGAGAGAGAGAGAGAGAGAGAGAGAGACGGAAGGGGAAGGAGGAGGGGAAGGGGAAGGAGGAGGGGAAGGGGGATGGGGAGAGTTGCAATTTTTCCATTTTCTTTTCATTATTTTAGTTTTCTGATTTTTTAGGATTTTAAATGTTAAACCATTTTTTATTTAGGTCCACATGGCATTATCTCATTGGTTATGTGGGTACCACATACCTGCCACATTATCAATTTAACAAAAATTTTGACATAACATAAACAGCATGTCCAAATTGATGTGTGAGGTGTAACATAAAGGACCAAAGGTGATAATTTCGCTAATCTCAGGGACCATTTGTGATAAAAACCCAGCCGCAAAAGCATGTTTTAAGCGCTATTAATTTATCATAAACGAGTAGAAAGCGCTATTGATCTTGTTGAATGTATTAAGATGCAATGAGTTTCAGATGATGAGAGATATCAGACTTATTTGAAATTACTTTTACATCAGTAAAAAATAAAACAGTAAATCTATTGACACAGGACAAGGTTTTTACATTGGGTAAACAGCAGCACAAAGATATGGGGCAGGGCATCATAAATTCGAAGTATGAGAGAGCTAAGCTGATGATGATATATACATTTTTGTCAGAACTGAATCAATGTGGTCACCTCACCACTCAGCACGGCAAAGCAGAGAGAGAGAGCCCTCTGTTTCTCAAAGGCTTTGGAAGCTGCGACTTCTTCACGGAGTTACTCAAATATTGAGCTTTGGCTACACCTTCAGACTTTAGTTTTAAATTTGTAAGCACTGTTCATAATGCATGGTCCTGTGTTTTTTTTTTCAGCCTGCAATGGTCCTGTGTTGGAAGTGGCTGGCTGAACGAGGGACCAACAACTTTAGATGAGGCTTTAGACATACACATTCAAAGTTTTGTTAATAATTTGCGGTTGTTTGCTCAAAGTTAATAAATTTTATATATGACAAGAGGAGTGAGTTATACACCTCATGACATGCAAGTTTCTTTCCACACGAGATACGTTTATGTTGGTAATGTAATAGACAATTAGAAAAATGCTACGAGCATCCATCCACACACGAGTTTAGTCGTATGCTTGCGCATATCGCTTCGATGGCTAAGAGTCGTCCACACAACACAATCTCAGCTCAGGAAATTATGTGGTAAATGTAAAATGCATTGATGGGTCGTAGGGACAACAACTTTGATTGATGGTTTATATCCACCAGTTCTTGTCAGTATAAAAGGGTCCAAATCTGGATTGGAATTTCATCTCCAAAACTGGTGTCCCTCAAAATTTGGCTAAAAAACAAGCGTGGATGGCATTTGATTACGTATGCTTCTTTTTCTATACAGGGTAGCTTGGGAACTTGATGAATAACTAATCTCATTATTGCGCACGAGGTACAAATCTAACGGCACAGATTCATTCAATTCAACCACACACAATGATAAAAGCTCTGAAGAGTCTGTCATTATTGATCTGATCTCCCTTCCAAAAAAAAAATCAAGTGGTGTGTGAATTTCATGGCAGAAAATTATATCGCTCTCACTCTCAGTCACAAAGTCACAAACCTACCCCATAATAGAACTAACTTGTATAGTAACTTCTGGCTGGGTGTGCTAAAAAATCTTTTTCCTCTAAACACACCCAAAAGTAGTATCTTTCTGGGGAAATCTACAAAGCCCATGTACTGTTTTCAAGACGAGAAAAAAAAAACAGAGCAGTGAGCACTCTCTAGCGTGTTAAAATGGAACACCCCAAATTTCCACAAAGAAAAGAAAACGAAAACCAAGTTTTTCTCATACATGCAGAGAGAGAGAGGCCTCTCCCAACAGTTGCTCTGTCCGTATGTATCTGTCAATCTTTTTTTATTTTTCATTTTTTATTTTTATAATAAGTTTATGCATGCAATGCAACTCAGAAAAGTTTTTTTATTTTTTATTTTTAACATAAATCATAATTGTACAAATTACCTGGTTTTTGGGAGGCCCATGAAACGAGGCTGAGGTCCTTCCCTTTTTCGTTTGAGCTCTCCCTTTGTACTCTGCCTCTGCGCTCCACGTTCCCTCATTGATACATATACATCTACAGAGTTGGGGGGTGAAAAAGAAAAAAAATCGAGTAATCTTTCTGCATTATGAAGCTGGCATTCAATTTCTGAAATCTCTCTTCTTACACTTTTTCAGAAATTTTTCATTCCTGCAAACACTGCCACCCTGATCACCTCTCTCTCTCTCTCTCTCTCTCTCTCTCTCTCTCTCTCTCTACCATATATTTACTTTGATTTTTATTTACCTCCCTACGACTTGTCTGCTCTAATCTAGGTTTGTTGTGGTTGCGGCCACTTGCTCTCTTCTTCTCCACCCACTTCTGAAAAATGGGCAGCACTCAAAATTGCGCCTGTTGGCACAGAAATAGACATCTAATCATTTCCATCTTCCTACTCTTGGTTTCAAGCTCGACCCATCTGAGATTCATGGCTGAAGGTAAACAACTCCTCCCCCATTGTTCAAATTCATTCACTAATATAACCCTCTTTGTTCAAAAGAAAAGGCAAAACTAACATGGGTTCTGTTTTTTTTTTTCTTTTTCAGGTGCTAGACTAATTTCAAGCAAGCTTACTAAGGCTGCTCCGGTAAGACTTCATATTATATATGGTATTGCTAATTTGCATAATAAATTATCCTATGTGGACGTCTGGACATTATTATATGTCTATGCTATTGCTAATTTGCTTCTTTCTACCAGTTGAATATGAAGTTTGTAAACTTTATACCAGAGTGTTAATTAATTCCTGACTGAGTTTTTTTAATTATATTTACGCAGAGAGGTCATGTTCTTGAGGAAAATGAAGCAGGGGTGGTGGTCAACGCTCGTCAAATAGGGTCAAGACCACCAAGGTGTGAGAGTAGGTGCAGTGCCTGTGGGCATTGTGTGGCAGTTCAGGTCCCTGTTTCCCCCCAAGTCCGAGGCCACAGTAAAATCAGAAGCCATAGCAGCCTCCCTGCTTCCACCAGAACAAGCCCCAAGAATGTAGCTTACTCCAGAGGCGATGACATTACAAATTATAAGCCTATAAGCTGGAAATGCAAGTGTGGGGATTTGCTTTTCAACCCTTGACTGTTTTGATCCAAGTATTAGCCCATCCATGTTTAATCTTCCATTATTCGGTAAATAACAATTATGAATTGTTCGAGGGAAAAAAAAAAAACAGAAAAACTTTTATCCGTACACTCTTATGAGGGTTTCTTTCTTTTTTCTGTTTTTGGGTTCTTCTTGGTATTTTTGGCGTGAATGTGTTCTGTACAGAAATAACAGGTGCTTATTTCTCCATTTTTTGCAACTGACTTTTTTAGTTATATTTTTATTGGGAGATTCTCCAATAAGTATTTTATTTTACGTTATAGATTGGTTACATACTTCTAATATTGGCCCTTGTTAAATATTCTATCAAAGAAACAAAGAAAAAAAAACAGGAACGGAAAAAAAATATTCAACAGCAACAACTATTGAAGTTAAAACCCTAGAAATTAAAGAGAAAGAGGGAAAAATGAAATTGAGAAGAAATAAACATAATATGCCTATTATCTAAGTCTTGTAGCTTCTTAGGAGTGTGCTTCAATTGATTCAAGAAGAAAAAATAATAGGAAGAATAAAAGATATTCAAGAGAAGGAGAACTTTGTGAAGGAATAGATGGCGTGAAGAAGCAAAGGGATGCGAAGGAGAAAACACACGAAGAGAAGAGATTGCGTGAAATAGATTGGGGTATTATAGGAAGTTTGTAAATTTCATTAAACCTAGCGCCTCTTTGAAATTGATTCCGGCATAATCAGAAAATGAAAGTACCTCATTAGCTGCTTTCCTTTATAGCTTTCTCTCACAACAATTTTTAACAATAAGTGATTTTCTCATGGTTTACCAAATGGACTGGGCTTCCCAAATTTTTTACAAAATCACTTATCACCCTAAATAAGCAATGTCAAATGGGCACTAAATGAAATACACAAAAATATTACTTATAGAACTGATATACGAAGGAATATCCCTATTTTGGGGTGAAGGTATGTATAAAAGAAAAAAGAAAATGAAAGTATCTCACAAGATAGTAAATAGAGAATGCCAAATTAATCTGCTCTATTATTAATTTAATTTTGTAGGAAAAGACTGTGAGTGAGTTTTTGATGGGGAAGTGACGACATGAAGTAAGATAATAAATGAGTTGAAGATGTGAGGTGTTCGAAATGTATGTCAGGGCAGTTCTGTTGCGTATCCCACAAGATATGTTGCCATACAATTATACAAACGGGTACACAGAGAAAGCTGAATCCCTGTTGCTGTTCCATTTTAGACACACCCACACACCTCGAATGGATAAATATATAACACTTGCACTATACCCTTCTCTACTTCTTGCCCCAGTACATCGAGAACACTTGTGTTTAACG